CAAGCAGAGAAGATGAGTGCGGGGCGGGGGTGGGAGGAGGCGGAAACGGGATCGGAACGGTTTTCGGGGCTTCTCTATGCTCAGCACCGGGTTTGTCCCTGTCCCGAGCAGAGCGGGGACGGCGGTCGGGCTGGAGCTCGGGACGGCAGAGCCTCGGCGCATCCCAAGCGCCCGCCCGAACTCTTTTCTACGAAAGAGACTATTTTTCTCCCCCTCGCCTTTGTTTTTTTCCCCTCCTTTTTTTCTCTTCTTAAAAAAAATAAAAATAAAATCTCATTTTCTCCTTTTTTTTTTTTGGTGTGGGTTTTGTTTTTTTTTTTTTTCTTTTAATCTTATTTCTGTAATTATAATACCAGCATCCCCGGCTGAGTTCTCAATAAAACCCGGATCCTGACATAAAACGCCACGTTGGAAAATAATGCGAGGGGACACCAGGGAGAGGAGGAAAGTCTCTAATTGGTTAAAATATGTTTAAATCACTTCATAAAACCCAAGCAAAGCGAAGCAAATAATCCACCTAGCAAAGCAAAGAAGCCGGGCGATTTAGAATCAGTGTAATTCGGTCCCCCCCGACCGGCTCCCCCCCAGCTCCTCGCAGTATTTGATATGATGAATAACCCAATATAGGCCTTTAAAAATAGGTCACTGCATAAAGAGACTCCCAGAGAGCTATAAAAAATGGGAAGAGGGCGCTTTAAGGAGAGGAGCCATTTGCTTCTTTTGTGCTTGTTTGGTACCTAGCGGCCTGGGAGCTGCCAGTCGTCCTCCTCCTGCCCATCAAGGTGAGGAGGCAAAGTTAGGGCCGGAGCCGGCCCTGGCCGTTCCTCGAGCCCCACGGCGCCGTCGTGCGCCCGCCGCCGCCGCTCGCCCCGTCCAGCCCCATCCCGGCCCGCGGGGAGCAGGGGGTGCCCCCTCGCAGGTCACGCCGATCACCCCCCGGCTCAGGGCTTTGTCGCCCGCCCTGCAGAGCGGTGGCACAGAAGTGGGCTGGTGGCCCGGGTAAAAATAACAAGGAGCCGTTCTGGCTCCACAGAGAGCCCCTCGGGTTTGGGGGCTCAGCAAGCCTCGCCGCCGCGGACCCTTTCCCGCAGGAAAAGGCCTCGGGCTGGGAACACCCCGGCGGAACCCGGCCGCTGCCTGCCCCTTGTGCCGCGCTTCCCCGGTCGGGACCGCCAGCCAGCCCCGGCGTTAACGAAGCCGAAGAAGCCGCCGATACCCCGCGCCCCGCCGTGCAGCCCCTCCGCAGGCACCCCCGGCAGCGGAACCCTCCGGTGGGGGCCCTGCCCTGCCGCCGAGCTGCTCCCGGCCCTGTCCCGCAGCCCTCCCCGGCACAGGGCGCTGGGAAAGAGGAGCACGACAAATTCGGCGGAAACCTTCGGATTTTATTGGAAAGGAAAGGTCTGCCTTACCTGGAACCAGGCTCTCCCCTTCTTCCCCTCATTAAAAAAAAATCAAACGGCTCTGGGTTGAGCCGGACAGAGACATTTAAAATAACGGAGTAGCCAAATTAACAGGAGGTAAAAATAGATGAAAAAATCAAAATCTTAGGGGCAAGAAAGAAAAAAAAAAGATACCGCCGGATATTTTCGTTTTGTTTTGTTTTCTCTTATTCTTATTTTTCACTATACTGTGTTATCCTGATGCAATAAAGGCTGCTTTGTAATGTAATTTAAAAATATATATGTCCAAACAAATAGCAGGGCCAGAATATGACAAGTGCATTCAGCATTATAATTCAAGTGGGCTCCACCTCCATACCGCCTCCTAATTAATGGGTCTCCGAACTTGCAAAAGCCTGCATTGGACAGAGAGGGAGAGAGAGAGGGAGAGAGAGAGAGAGAGAGGGCGAAAAGTGTCATTGAAGATAATTGATTACCTCCCAATCAACAATAACTTGTTAGCAATAGTCAATTACCCCGTCTCTTCTCGCCTCTTTCCCCCCGGTCCGAAGGCTCGGTGCGAGGGCTGCTCTCCCCTTCTCCGAAGTCTGCTTTTGAATTTTTGTCTTTTTTTCCTTTTTTTTTTTTTTTTTTTTTTTTTTTTTTTTAATTATTTGGAGGGGTATTCGCTTGGGGGGGGGCAGGGAAAGTGCTGCGATTTGGGGTGTTTCTTAAAATAGCAGCTGGGAAGAGGAAGAGAGAGGAGAGAGCGAGCGAGAGGAGAGAGAGAGGGAAAAAAAGATCCCCGACCCAAAACCCTGGGACAGGAGGTGCGGCAGGACCACCTCCCGGCGAGGGACCGACGGCAGCTCCGCTCCCGGCCGCAGCCCGCCGCCCTGCCCGCCGCCCGACGTGGCTCTCCCCGGGAGGACCCGGGACTCCTCCGCCGGAGTTGGAGGTGGGCTTCAACTTTTGCTCGCTGTCTCCGCCGCCGTCGCGCCGCGGTCCCGCCGGGGGCTTCTCCCCGCGGCAGCGCATCCCCGTCGCAGGTGGGGAAGGCAGCCCCGCGCGGCCCGGCCCCACCATGACTTCCAAAGAAGAACCCAAGCCCTCCTCGGGGGAAGAACGGCGACGGAGCCCCTTGGATCACCTCCCGCCGCCGGCCAACTCCAACAAGCCCCTCACTCCCTTCAGCATCGAGGACATCCTCAACAAGCCCTCGGTGCGGAGGAGTTACACGCTCTGCGGAACGGCCCACCTCCTCTCCGCCGCCGAAAAGCACCCCCCGGCCGGGCTGCCGCTCTCCGGCCGGGCGCTGCTCTCCCAAACCTCCCCCCTCTGCGCCCTGGAAGAACTGGCCAGCAAGACCTTCAAGGGGCTGGAAGTCAGCGTACTGCAGGCGGCCGAAGGTAAGCCTCTCTCGGGGTGTGGGGGCGTCTTCCCGCGGGTGGGTACCCCGCTCATCCCCATGGCCTGTTTTTCCTTTCCCCCTTCCCAATCTCACTGGGTGTCTCACGGGGTGGGACGAGGGGTACGCCCGGGCCGCCGGTACCCGGCAGCATCCTTCCCACTGCGGGCCTCTGACTGCGGGAGCGGTGGCTCTGCCCAGCTCCCCCCCACTTCCCCGGTACAGACGGAGCAGGGGCGTGGGGTGTGGGGGGCTCAGGGTTGGAGGGACGTGGGGAAAGCGGCCACAATCTGGCGACTCGTCGGCAGGCAGGGACGGGATGACGATCTTCGGGCAGAGACAAACGCCGAAAAAGCGTCGAAAGTCGCGGACGGCCTTCACCAACCACCAGATCTACGAGCTGGAGAAGCGGTTCCTCTACCAAAAATACCTGTCGCCGGCGGACCGGGACCAGATCGCCCAGCAGCTGGGGCTCACCAACGCCCAGGTCATCACCTGGTTCCAGAACCGCCGCGCCAAGCTCAAGCGAGACCTGGAGGAGATGAAGGCCGATGTGGAATCGGCCAAAAAGCTGGGCCCCAACCCCGCCGTGGACATCGTGGCCTTGGCCGAGCTGGAGCCCAGCGCCGAGGGAAGGGGCAAGCCGCGGGCCGGTTCCCCGCCACCACCCCCTGCCGCCGCCCGGGAGCCCGGCGCCCCGCCGCCGCCCCGCCCCACCTCGCCCCCCACGGAGCGGCCCCGCAGCCGCCGGGACAGCGAGGAGGAGGAGGAAGAGGAGGAGGAGGACGTGGAGATCGACGTGGATGACTGAGGGGCGGCCGGCGGGGTTCCCCCCTACCCCACTACCAAACACCCCCCCGCCCCGTCTTGCCCCCACCCTCCCCCGCCAGCCCCAAATTGGCACCCCCGGCCCCCAGCCCGGCCCCGGCAGCGCGGCGAGGCGGCTGCTCCCCTCGGTCGGAGCAATAAGCAATAGAAACCCACCATACACACACTCACACAACCACGAATTAATTTAGGGTAGAGTCGATATCCCTCCGCCTGTCACATCTTCGGAATGGTGCAATTACGGACGGCTTCTGTATAAATATTTAAACGTATATATTGGATTTTTTTCCTTCCCCCCCCCCTTCTTTTTGAGGCTTTGATTTTTATTTTTTTTTAATAGCTACCAATGACGATTATTTTGTCTGTAAGGGAGATGAGTAACCTTGGAATAAACTCGGCTTCCAACAGATGTTTGGGTAGGCAGTTGCTTTCAAAGACTTCCGAAACGAACCACTTTAGGGAAGATTTAAGTTAGACTCAAAACGGCAACAGCAAAAATTCGCCACTTGCCTTTCCTTGCATGTTTCAGGTGTGCACGAAGTGATTATTATTATTTTTTCCTTCTAAAAACGTTTCTTTTTCTTTCGCAATCTTGGGAACTTGGGGATGGGTGAGAATGCAAGCTGAAAACAATATATACTTTCTTTTTTTCCTAGAGCATAGAGAGTTGTCTCCAATGCAATTTCTGCCTCATTTTACCAATTAAAAGCTATTTTTACCATTTTCTGCTATTGTTGTGCTTTTATTAAAAAGCTGCTGCCTTTCGTATTTTTTATATGAAGGTGGTAACAAAAAAAAATAGAAAGAAAAATGAAAAAAAAATCCTAGAATTATTTTTTACTCTTTTTAGAATTTTTGCATGCTACGGAAATAAAAAAAAAGGACAAATCCCAAGATCAATACATTTAAATATTACACTATAAATTAAAGATATGTACAGATTTAAGACCTGTTTTTTGTTTGAATTGTACAAATTTTAAAAGGCCTGCTATTTAAGTTCCGATAGGGACAATGTCGCTTTATTTACTGTCTCTTAGAATTGTACAGATAGCTCTTTTTTCCGATACAATAAAATCTTTACCATTTTAATAGACTTTTAACGTCCTTCTTTGTGAACGACAAACCGCTCCGCCGGCCCGAGGTTCTGTCAGACTCTTCCCCCCACCAGGAATCTCCCATCCCGTTTGCCTTTAAAGTTACTTTAGCGGCGGGACCTGGGAGAAAATGACGGGGGAGGAGCACGGGACCGAGAACTTCAGGAGGGTTTTTGTGGTTGTTGGTCAGGTTGGAGCCAGGCAGCGGTTTGGCAGAGACGGAACCCGGCGGAGCGGGAGGGCAGGAGGTGCGGAACCGCTTCCCGGGGCGGGGGATGCGAGGCGGCGGCTGCGGGACCGCGGCGGGGGTACCTGGGCTACCGGGGTCATCGGCCCTCCCCGCAGCTCCCGCCTCCAGCAGGGTATTTCCAGCCCGGAATTAGAAAGGGAAAAGTGGTGGTGTGGGGATAAATAAAGAAAACCCAAATGCGAACGAGGGGAAGGAGTTACCATCCTTCTGCACAAAAGGAGCGGTGAGGAGCACGGGGGGCGGACCTCCCGTTCTGGGCCAAAACTGCCGCTCCGAGGACAGAAGGGTTGAAAATGCTTCATTTCCTCCCGTTCCTTTTATATTTTCTCCCCTCTTTTTTCTCTCGTCTCTCCTTTTTTTTTTCCTTTTCTCCAAAATCACGGCTCTGGTGCATGTGTTTTCCCCTGGCAGCGTGACCTGCCCTTGGAGCCGAGCAACGTGTGTTTCTCCCTATTCTTTGCAAAAAATTTATGTGAGAAAGACAAATCTGGTGTACAGTGGCAGAGCTCGGGCGAGAAGTGTCCGGATAAGACAGGCTTGGGTTGTGGGTTGGATTTTTCCTTTTTTTCTTTTTTTTTTGGTCCAGTTTCTCCGAGGCTAAATAAATCTTTCTCCTCTTTGAGAATGGATGGGGTTGTAATTTTTAGCGTAAAGCATGAAAACTGGGGACAAATGAGCCCTCTTCTCTGAAGTGACAAGCGACAATGGAGCATATACAGCCTCCTGCGGTTCGCCATGCTGAAACAAGCGTGCCCCTCCGCAGCAGAGAGAAGGCGAGCGCTTGGAGACCATATGGTTTTTGAATTTTCTTCACAATTTCCAGACAATTTGATGGATTAGGTTAACCCTCCCTTCCACTGTTTAACTCCACAACAATGGGAGCAGAGCTGTTCTCCCTTCGTCGGGGCATCTGTGCGCTTCTATTCTTCTCTCTTTCTCTCTTGGTATTTGGAACAAGCCTATGAATTACAATGAAATTCACTTTTCTTTAGTATTATTTGGAAGAGCACTTGTTTTCCGCTACCTCCCGCCCCCACCTCTCCATCCCTTCTTTGTTTTGTTTGTTTTTTGGGGGCTTGTTTTTTTTTCTTACCTCCCAGTGATAGCTTTGACTTCTGTCCAGATCTCTCGGAAAGCCTTCAATCTTGTCCTTAAGTGTTTTTATGCTAAACAGGCAAATCGTAAATGCTGAGAAACTGTGACATTTATGTGAAGATCTAGTTAAAGGGCTTTATTTGTTTTCTTTATCTGTTCTTTTTTTTCTTCCCCCCCCCCCCCCTTCCCTCTCCTCTTCCCCCTCCTCTCCTGTCCCCTCCCTCCCCCTAGTCTTTTCTTCTTTTGTCTTGGAATGGATTTAATGAGGCTGCAAACACTACAATTCAATATAACCACGAAATGAAAAAAACAAAAGAAGAAAAGGGGTGGCTGGGTGTATGGAAAACAGGCTGGGAGTTAATTTGGATTTCTGATCTATTGACTTCTGTGTGTACAGAGAAGAGATGCCGGGCCGCCGTGCACCCGCAGAACTTCACCACACGTGGCTGGGGCGGGTTAGTAAATAAAGCCTCCTCTCGAAGATCTGCAGCGTGTTCGCTTTGGCTCACCCCCATTTCCAAAGAGCTGGGATTTGGGTTATTTAATTGCATACTGAAAAACAAAAAGGCCTTTCCCCCCCCCGTTTCCCCCCCCCAGCTTAAGAAGGAAGCGCCGGCTTGTGCCCCTCATTTGTCATGCGTTTCGAAACGCGCCGTTTCCTGGATTACCTGGCTTGGTAGATACATCGCTTTCCCTCGATTTTAGGTACAAACCGGAATTGGCTTTTTCTCACCTTTATCTTCAATTTCTCTCCTCTCTCTGTGTGTTTCCACCCCACAGCAGCAGGAACCGCGCTGCATCGCACCCTTTGGTGCGCAGTCCTTCCAGCCGGCTCCGAGAGCTGCTTTTGGGGCCGCGCTCAGGGCCGCGGGAAGAGTCCTCACGGACCCTCCCATGCCCACCCCAGACACCCAAATTAGCCTGCTCCCCTAAATCAGCCGGCCCTGAGGCCGCGGAACCCCACCTTTTCTGCTGCCTGCAGCAGAGAAAGGGGGGGCTGGGTCAAGACCCCAGGGACTTGCTGTTCGGGGGCACCCAGGGCAGAGGGCGCCTTGCCCGGCCTTCTCCTTGTCCCCCATGCGTGGATTCACAGCGGGGACAGAGCCGGTCACGTTTTCCCATCCCCGGGCACCACCAGGACCGTTTCGGAGCTCCTCGCCCCGGCGCGGTGCTCCATACCCTAGGGATTGGCTCCCCTCCACACACCCGTAGGGAGGTGAGCACGGGGCAGAGGAAGGCAACGGCCTTTCCCAAACGGATCAAACTGAAAAGGATTCGGATTCAAGCGGCGAAGGCTGGATTCCCGACGGGAAAAATAAAGGCATAAACCCCGGCAAGGAGGGCTGCGAAATCCCGCTGGGTTCTAGCCCGGGGAGGTGAAAACCCGCAGAAAGGGGTGCGGAAGAGGGGGGAAAGGGGGAGCGGGTTGGAGGCCTGGTGGACCCC